GAGCAATGCAAATTAAATTCACAATGAAACACTACTGCATACCCACTGGAATGGCTTTAATCACAAAGACTGGCCATACCAAAGGCTGGCAAGGATGTGGAGCAGCCAGAACTCTCAGCCGCTGCTGGTAGAACATGAAATGGTACAACCACTATGGAAAATAATTCACCTGTTTGTTTTATTTATTTATTTATGAGGCAGGGTCTCACTCTGTTACCAGGCTGAAATGCAGTGATATGATCATGGCTCACTGCAGCCCCGACCTCGGGCCTCAGCCTCCCAAGCAGCTGGGACTATGAGCGTGTGCCACTGCACCCAGCTAATTTTTGCAATTGTTGTAGAGATGGGGTCTCACTATGTTGCCCAGGCTGGTCTCAAACTCCCAGGGTCAAGCAATCCTCCCACCTTGACCTCCCAAAGTGCTAGGATAATAGGCATGGGCCACCATGCCCCGCCCCATTCATATTTTTAAAAGTTAAACACTACTTATTATATGACCCAGCAATCATGCTCGAAAAACATAAAAAGCTTATATCCATATAAAGACTGATGTGTGAATGAATGTTCATAGCAGCCTTATTAGAACTGAAAACTAGAAACTATCCACCCACGGGCAAATGGATAAATAAATTGTGAAATAACCTTACAATAGAATAGTACTCGGCAATAGAAATGAAGTATTGGGCCGATCGAGGTGGCTTAGGCCTGTAATCCCAGCACTTTGGGAGGCCGAGGCAGGCGGGTCACGAGATCAAGAGCCCGAGACCATCCTGGCTAACATAAACATTAAAAACATACTAAACGTACAAAAATTAGTTGGGTGTGGTGGCACGCATCTGTAATCCCAGCTACAGGGGAGGCTGAGGCAGGAGAATCTCTTGAACTTGGGAGGCAAAAGTTGCAGTGAGCCAAGATCATACCACTGCACTCCAGCCTGGTGACAGAGTGAGACTCCATCTCAAAAAAAAAAAAAAAAAAGTATCGATAAACACCACATGAACTGAATCTCAAAACAATTATGCTGACCAAAAGAAGCCAGAAAAAGGAACATGCACTATGTGATTCCAATTGTTTAAACCTCTAGAAAATTCAGGTTAAGTCTAGAGTGAAAGAAAGCAGATTAGTGGTTGTCTGCAGAGGGGAACTGGAGAAAGCGATTATCCAAAGGGACCATAAGGAAACTCTTGGGGTGCTGGATTTGTTTATTATCTTGATTGTGGCAGTGTCTTCACAGTTGTGTACATACGTCAAAACTGAAGAAATTGTGCACTCTGTATAGTTTATTGTATGTCATTTGTGCCTTGGTAACCCTGTTAAATAGGTAAACACAGCAAAAGAGAGAAAGAAAAAGAATGAAATGACTCCAAGAAAAGTTTACATAAATTGCTCTATCCCGTGGATCTCTGATTGTGACCTTGAATTTTTACTCTTTGTATTAGTCCGTTCTCTCATTGCTATAAAGAAATACCTGAGACTGGGTAATTTATAAAGAAAAGAGGTTTAATGGCCTGACGTGATGGCCCATTGTAATCCCAGCACTTTGGGAGGCCAAGGCGGGCAGGTCACTTAAGGTCAGGAGTTTGAGAACTGCCTGGCCAACATGGTGAAACCCTATCTCTACTAAAAATATAAAAATTAGCTGGACATGGTGATCTGTGCCTATAATCCCAGGTAAAGAAAAGAGGTTTCATTGGCTCTTGGCTCCTCAGGCTATACAGGAAGTATGATGCTGGCATCTGCTCAGCTTCTGGGGAGGCCTCAGGCAATTTGCAATCGTGGAGGAAGGTAAAAGGGAAGCAGGCACGTCTTACATAGCCGGAGCAGGAGAAAGAGAGGGGGGAGGGGGAGGTGCCACACACTTTTTAACAATCAAATATCATGAGACCTCACTCACTATGCAGCACGGTTTCGGGGCTGTGGGGGTCTCGAGGTGGGATGGTGCTCAACCATTCATGAAAACTGCATGCCCATGATCCAGTCACCTCCGCCCAGGCCCCACGTCCACACTCAGGGTTACAATTCGACAGGAGATTTGGGCAGGGACACAGATCCAAATTGTATCACTCTGCATTCTCATGAATGTGTGCTTGGGTAACCACCTGCTTTTTTTTTTTTTTTTTTTTTTTTTTTTTTGGTACCCCTGCAAAATTGGTTTCACACAGACCTTATTTTAAATATGTCTTAGATAACTAGCATTTACCCCTCTTTTTAATATTTGCCTGTTTTCATGGGGGTGACAGATGTTTTCTAAGCCAAGTACCCTTAAACTACCAAGTGAACCAGAAAAGACCTTATTTACATTGCTCTTGAGCATCTGTGAGTTGAGAAGAAATTCTTTCTCCAGAGGAAAGTCTTTGCTAGCTCAGTGTTTGGGAATCTCTCATGCTGCATCCTGAAGACTCCGGGGAGGTGGAGAACGCCCAGCACTCCTGACAACGCAAACTCATGTCTTATTATGTCCTTAGTCTGCTAAGAAGCTTTTATAAATATTAAATAAAGTTCAGTCCCTTGGGTTATAAGGGGAAATAGTTATTTCAGAGTAGAAAAAAACTCTCCCTAGCCAAGTATTTTTAGACAAAGGCATTTTCCCCTGATGATCCAAGAGTTGGCAATTGTGTCGGGAAAGATGGAGCCTGTGGCATACATTTGGGAGCTAACCCCAGCAACTGTAAAGTAAGAAAATGGGATGGGATGTCCTCGAAGGTTCTACGCTGCTTTACAGTTCTGTCACCCTCTAGTGACAAGGACAGGCCCAAATTTTACTTCTAACTCTGCCACTCATTGGCAGAATCACATGGGCAAGTAAGTCCCTCACTAAACCTGAGTTCCCTCACTAGTTACTTAAGGATAGTAAACTACAATAAAAAGCCATGCATTTTAAAACATCTGTGCTTGCTGGGCGTGGTGGCTCCTGCCTGTAATCCCAGCACTTTGGGAGGCTGAGGTGGGTGGATCACCTGAGGTCAGAAGTTCGAGACCAGCTTGGCCAACGTGGTGAAAGCCCATCTCTACTAAAAAATACAAAAATTAGCCAGGCGTGGTGGCGGGTGCCTGTAATCCCAGCTACTACTCGGGAGGCTGAGGCAGGAGAATCGGTTGAACCCGGGAGGCAGAGGTTGCAGTTAGCCAAGATCACACTGTTGTACTCCAGCCTGGGCAACAAGAGCAAAACTCTGTCTCAAAAAAAAAATTAAAACATCTGTGCTTAAGCAACAACATAACTTTGATGCTGGCTTTGGGACCTGGGTCGGGGACAGTGCTGCTCTACTTGTTTGAGACCGTTAGACAATTGCCAAAGGGTATAAATATGGCAGCCTCTCAGTGGGGCCACATCCAGGAGCACCCCGCAGTGAGAAGCAGCAAGGGCCCACATTCTGTGCTGCAGCTCTCACTCATCCACACATATCCATGGGTCTGGTCCAGCCAGAACTCCATTCAAGTCACCTCCTAATTGCCAGGCCCGTGCTAGATGCTTTCACCTATATAATCTCATTTACCTCTCAGATTGACAAATCTCTCAGCAGGTAAAGCTTAAAAGGCTTGCTTTTACTAGAGAATGGGCTGGGCCCCATGGCTCATGCCTGTATTGCAACACTTTGAGAGGCCGAGGCAGGTAGATCACCTGAGGTCAGGAGTTCAAGACCAGCCTGACCAACATGGTGAAACCCCGTCTCCCCGTCTCTACTAAAAATACAAAAATTAGCTGGGCATAGTGGTGAGTGCCTATAATCCCAGCTACTTGGGAGGCTGAGACAGGAAAATCAGTTGAACCTGGGAGGCAGAGGTTGCCGTGAGCCAGGATCGCACCATTGCACTCCAGCCTGGGCGACAGGGCAAGAATCTGTCTCAAAAAAAAAGAAAAAAATAGAATGGAGGGAACCCAGTAGGAGAGGAAGGTAGAGAATCCTTCCCATGCAGCCCCCATTTACCTCTGGGGCAGAGACAAAGGGGGATCTTTTTTTCTTTTTTTTTTTTTTTTTTGAGACCGAGTTTTGCTCTTGTTTTTCCATGTTGGTCAGGCTGGTCTTGAACTCCCGACCTCAGGTGATCCACCTGTCTCACAGCCTCCCAGAGTGCTGGGATTACAGGCATGTGCCACTGCGCCCGGCAGAGAGGGGATCTCTTAAAGGTAAAAGAATGTAATGTTCAGCTACAGATAAATATGTGTTGCCCTCCTTCTGTTCGTCTAGGCATTCTCAGGTTTTCAGATTTGGAGAGCTGTAAATGCGTAACTCTTCCATCATTACAGCCCCCAGCGGCCCCTCCCTCACTCCCTGCATGAGGCCTTCCCTGACTAGCCCCAAATAAATGAGTCACCTCTCAGTACTCCCTGCTGCCCCATCTGATTGATTGAATACTCCATTGGTTGACTTTAGAGACAAGGCCTTGCTCTGTCATCCAGGCTGGAGTGCAGTGGCGCTGTCATAGTTCACTGCAACCTCTAACTCCTGGGCTCAAGGTACCCTCCTTTCAGCCTTCTGAGTAGCTGGGACTATGGGCGTGCACCATCACACTAGGTCAACTTTTCTATACTTTGTAGAGACAGAATCTTGCTATGTTGCCCAGGCTGGTCTCAAAGCGATCAAGCAATCCTCTCACCTTTGAGAAGCTGGGATTACAGGCATGAGCCACTGCGCCCACCCCCGACTTGTTAATCCTCTGTGCACATTTCCCTCCCAGGCTTGGGGTATGCTACTTGATGTGTCTGATGGCTCTCTCCTCCCACTAGCATGGAAGTGCTGTGAGAACCGGGAAGTAATCCCAGTGCCCGGAGCACTACCCACTGACCAACTGTCTGTCAGATGGATGAGAGATAATGAAGGTCACAATGGGCAATTTCAGGGACTTCAAAGAGCAGTTTTCACCCTACGAGGTCTTTGCCTCTGGTGCTGCCTTTGGGACTCGTTCCTTTGGAGCTAGATGGTGCTGGTGGGATATTTCCCAGGAGGAGACGCCCAGCAAAGCTTCTGATTTGTCCACCATTCCCTTTCTTACCCCAGGTGAATACAATGCACACAACGGACCTTCCACGCCGGCAAAAGAGGGAGACACAGACAGGCCGCACCGGGCCGCCGACGGGAAGCTCCGAGGCCGGTCTAAGAGGAGCAGTGACCCCTCCCCGGCAGGGGACAATGAGATTGAGGTAATCCAAAGGGCCTATGTTGTGACTTGGTGAATGTAATCTCCATCTGAGGCTCAAACAAGAGTGGGGAGGGAGTTTTCTCCAAGTGCCTGGAGGAGAATCGCCCTTTGTGTTTCCAAAGCACAAGCAGGGAAGCATGAGGTTAACCAGGTAGCCCTGGGGCCAGTACAGAAAAGAAACTGAAGCAGTCTCAGAATCACCCCAGGGGGACGAGGAATGGCGCTTTTGAAAACACAGATTGCTGGGCCTCAGGCCTAGAGTTTCCAATTCAGTAGATCTGGGGCAGGACCTAAGAATTTGGGTTTCTGACAAGCCCCCAGGTGATGATAATGCTCTGGGTTGAGGACCGCACTTTGAGAGGCGCTGATAAAGAAGATAATGGGCCTCAGCTGGGTGGAGTGGTTCTCTACCCTGGTTACACAGCAGAATCATCTGGGATGCTCTTTAAAAAACAAATGCCCCAGCCCCATCCCAGACCAAGTGAAAAGACTTGCTGGAGGAACTAGGGGGTGGAGGGGAGTTTTAAAAATCCTCCATGCGGACTCTACTAGGGCTTACCTACTGATCTGCGTCGGGGCTCACTCAAATGAGTGTGCCTTTATTTCTGGGATTCTGGGATTCTGACTTCTCAGAAAGGGGCTGTCAACCTGGGCTGCACCCAGCAATCACATGGGTGGGGGGAGGGGTGGCGGTGCTTTGAGAAACCTTATCATCAAGCTGCACCGTAGACCACTAAATCCGATTCCCTGAGGGTGAAAGCCAGGCACCAGTGTTTTTAAAGCTCCCTGGGTGATTCCAGTGTGCAGCTAAGGCGGAGAACTAGTGGTCAGGGATGCTCCAGTCTTTTTTTTTTTTTTTTTTTTTTTTTTTGAGGTGGAGTCTCGTTCTGTCACCCAGACTGGAGTGCAGTGGCACAATCTCAGTTCACTGCAACCTCCATCTCCCACGTTCAAGCGATTCTCTTGCCTCAACCTCCCGAGTAGCTGGGATTACAGGCACACACCACCATGGTCAGCTAAATTTTGTATTTTTAGTAGAGATGGGGGTTTTACCACATTGGCCAGGCTGGTCTTGAACGCCTGCCTTCAACTGACCCACCCCCCTTGGCCTTCCAAATGCTGAGGTTACAGGCGTGAGCCACTGCTTCCAGACTTTTTTTTTTTAATCAGGCATACATGAGGTTTTCAGCGGGATGCCATGGGATACAAACAGATAGTAAGATGACTGTAATGAAACAGATTGCCAAGTCTACCATCTCGCATAGTTACCTTTTCTGTCTAACAAAAGCAGCTCAAATCTACTTATTTAACAAAAATCCCTAATACAATATAACTTTATTAACGCTAATCTTGTGTCGTACATTACATCTGGATACCTGTCATTTGTTATGAGAGAGCAAGTACAGGATTATTGGCTGGGTACTGACATTTTCCCAAAAACAAAACAGCATGCCTAGCGGAGAATACTAGTGGAAATAGGCAAAATGGACGCCCCAAACCCAGAAGTAAGCTACTATTGTCTAGCAAGGGAGGGAAACGAGCACACTCACCCATTTATACTTCTGTGACAGAGGCAGTCAGTTGCTGGCCTGAGTGTGCCGCGGGTGGCTGGGCAGTGTTGTCAGCGCCAGGCAGTTCAAGTGCACCAGCCTCACACCCCTATTTATAATCCGTATACTTTATGCAGCAGCTGCAGTGCTCAGCCACAAACTCAGACACACTGGGAAATATCGTCTTTGTCATTTCCTTAAAAAGCAATGTAATCTTAACTGAGTCCCCACCCCACCAGATGGTAAGAAATTTAATTTCATTATTAGGGACCCACCGCTCCCAGGATTATATGAGAATCCAGGGCGTCAAGTGATCTCAGAAAGCAGACCAGCCTCTGACATCTAGTGTGGCTGGTTGGCCACTGCGGCGTTCACTGTCAAAACCTGCAGTTGTCACTAAAAGTCCAGCCACTGTCTGGGGTTTCCATCTATACAATGATTATGGAAATCCTTGTTGAGCCTGAAAACCTTGAAATATTCACTACAATTCTTTGGTTGCAAACAACAGAAACCAGTTCTGGACCCGGCACAGTGGCTCATGCCTGTAATCTTACTGCTTTGGGAGGCCGAGGCAGGCAGATTGCTTGAGACAAGCCTGGGCAACATGGCAAAATCCTATCTCTACAAAAAAAAAAAAAAATACAAAAATTAGCCAGACATGGTGGCACGCACCAGTAGTCCCAGCTACTCAGGAGGCTGAGGTGGAAGGATCAATTGAGCCCAGGAGGTAGAGACTGCAGTGAGCCATGACCACACCACTGCACTCTGGCTTGGGCGACAGATTGAGAAAAAAAGAAAAAAACAAAAAACAAAAAAACGGTTTTTGTTACTTAAGCAAAAATGAATTTACCAGGAAGGGACAATGAGAGGAGGCCATAAAACGAAGTTTAGAAAGAAAGTAACAAAGACATTCTAGAGTGCAGTGCCATGTCCTTCAATGTCAGATTCCAAAGACACAGCCCATTCTAGAGTGCAGCGCCATGTCCTTCAATGTCAGATTCCAAGGAGACAGCATCCCATTGGCCTAGCTTGGGTCTTATACTTGCCCCTTAATTGACAGTCCCACCAAAATAGCACACAAGGGGGAAGGAAAACTAGGATGCTCTTATCAGAAGCCCTGAGGATGGATGCTAGGGGTGGGGACCGGGACCTCCAAGCAACACATGCTGACTTTAGGGCATTTGCTCTTTAACCAGCAGCAGTCCCTAGTTCACCTGTAGCAGTTGTTTATAGCTGGGGTCAGTTCTGATCACCCTGGAAGGTATTAAACATCTTGAACATCAGGTTTGCTGCCCTACACTTGGCCAGCCTCCTGAGGTCTACCAGCAGCAGCCCTGATCCATGCTAGAGACCTGCTGCAGAGCAAGAATGGCCCACTGTTCCTGGGGCCATTCTCAATCCAGGGAATTCTGATCTTGCTTTTTGCCATTTTTTTTTTTCCCCCTTTGAGATGGAGTCTCACTCTGTTGCCCAGGGTGGAGTGCGGTAGTGAGATCTTGGCTCACTGCAGCCTCTGCCTCCCGGGTTCCAGCGAGTCTCCTGCCTCAGCCTCCTAAGAAGCTGAGAGTAAAGGCTCACACCACCATGGCTGGCTAATTTTTGTATTTTTAGTAGAGACAGGGTTTCACCATGTTGGCCAGGCTGGTCTCAAACTCCTGACCTCAGGTGATCCACCTGCCTTGGCCTCCCAAAGTGCTGGGATTACAGGCGTGAGCCACCGCGCCTGGCTGCTTTTTGCCTTATTCTCAAAGTTTCTTCCTTCCCCACAATAGAGGAGATTTTGCACAATCCCTTCAGTGGATTTAGACCTTCACAAAAGGCTGAAAGAAAATGTATTGGTTTCAGGTCGAACTTGCTGTCTGCCTTCCCGTATTATTAGGATTTCCTACCAGCTTGAAGTTGCAGAGCTTAGAAAACACAGAAAGCCACACATACATAATATTCCCTCCCCCCAGGAAAATCATTCAGTCGCCTAACGTGTTTTCTGCTCTCCATAGGGAATGACGGGGGTAGAGAGATATTTTTCCATTAAACTGAGAAAGAGGTGGGGAGGGTTATGGCATGGAAGTCGGGGATTATAGGGTGATATTATTCTGGAAACATCTGCTTCTTGATTTCAGCATAAGTGCCGCTGGGCAAGAACCATTGAAAATGTGTGAGCTGTGTTTCACTTCTGTGCTTAATGTCATCATAGAGGGTTTGCATGGGTCACACCTCTTAAGTCTTTGGCTGTTTTGCTAATGACTGAAGCCCACGAGAGAGAAATTATATAGAAGTGGAAAGGAGGAAAATTCTGAGCATGTATTAGTTAAAATGCCTCAGCTGCAGGTGCCACCTTGAGCTACTTAGGCAAAAAAGGGAGAATTTATTTTAAGGATACAGGGACTCTCTTAGAACTTAAGGGCAGAAGGAAAATAGAGTATCAGCGAGGCACTGGAATCAGCCAGGGACACAGGGGCAAGAAACTGCATGTATGCCTTCTCTTCCCACGTCCCGCAGTGAAGGCGCCAGAACTCCCTGAGCACAGTGTCCTGGCAGTGCCCTCATGTACTAGTTACTGGGCACAGCTCTTCCCCAGACCTCCTCACTCTTCCTCTCCCTCCACGCCAGTGAAACCAGGTTGCAGTAAAGTGTTAGGTTCTTTGCATCTTTCACCCTCTGTTCTTCTGTCTCTGCAGACTGCCTGTCAGATCCCAGGGTCCAGGTCCAGCCCATGCTAAAGTCCAAGGGGAGTGGGTGGATGGGCAGAAAGAACACTCAGGCGGGCCATAGGCAGGTGAACTATCGTTTTATTTATCAGCTTTCTCATGTTAGCTGTCTCACACTGCCTACCTTCATCTCGGCTGTCTGCTTTGGCTCTGCGGCTCCTGCTGCCCGTCACCTGCAGCTGCACAGCCGGCTCTCCCTTGCCTTCAGGGGCAGCAGTTTAACTCTTTGTCTCTCTGGGCACCAGTGTGAACTGTGCCATGGCTCCCCTCTGTCCATCTGCAAGACAGTCATTCTCCCTTACAGGGGCCAGTAGCTTCACTCTCTGGGCACCAGTGCCTGCTCGAGAGCCACGTTAAGCCAAGCCAAGAGGCATGCCCGCTGCACAGCATCAGCAGGGCAATTATATCTTCTGCAGACAATAGTGACTCCAAACCAAGCATGAACTTACACAAACAGGTTCTATAACAAGTGGAGGTGTGTGCCTGCATCCCAAACTCACTACGTCACACAGGCCTGGATGTCCACCTCAGCCTAGTCCTTGACCAAAGCACATCCATGTGCCTTACACTGCCCTTGTCTACCCTTCAGATCGCATGGCTGAACTTGGCCACCAATAGCCCTTCCCAATAGACAATGACTTTCTAGCCCCAATTTTAAATCGCAAAAAAATTTCTCTGACCCACCTGGGGTTAAGGACGCACCCTGGTCTGCACCATCATGGCCTAGGGAATAGGGTCACCTGCAGAATGGCCACCAGGAACTTACCCACCAAGAATCTAGGATGGTGAGGTAATGGGGGAAAGGGATGGATTTGTTTCAGAGGGGATTTAATGGATGAAGTAAGGGAGCCTGCACTACATTTGAAAATACTTCTGATTTTTAAAAATTCTATTACTGAAATGTTTAAATTTCATTTCCTAAGTTCGACCCCAGTAAATTCAGATAAGTTAGGATTTGGCATATTTGAATCCCAGAAGGCCTTCTCAAACACTGATTTTCAAACATTTTTACCATGACCCGTAAGAAATATACTTCATATTATAGCCTAGTCCATATATGCACATAAATATAGCTGGACCAAAAGATTTATAAAATAATACTTAGCCTTACTATTGGTTCAGAAATCGCTGTACAAAAGAATTTTGGATGCTAGTACCTTTTTCATTCTAGATATTTCTCTTAGCTTTCAAAGGCATGGCAAATGCCATTGTGTGAATACAGCCATTGACCTCCAGAGAGTTTTAAAAGGTGGCCCATTCAAGATGGCAGACCAGTCAGGGACATTTGTCTCCCCTCCTCAACACCAGCTACAGAGATAGTCAGGTCCTTTGTCCTTGAAAATAATGATCACCAGAAAAATAAAGAAAATCAACAGTATGAAAAATGTAGAACAAGATTAGCCAGGCATGGTGGCTCACCATACCAGCACTGTGGGAGGCCAAGAGGGGAGGATCACTTGGATTCAGGAGTTCAAGAACAGCCTGGGCAACATAGTGAGACCCTGTCTCTACAAAAAAAAAAAAAAATCAAAAATCAGCCAGGTATGGTGGCATACACCTGTAGTCCCAACTACTCAAAAGGCCAAGGTGGAAGGATCACTGGAGCATGGAGAGAGAGAGGCTACAATGAGTGATGATTACATCACTGCATACAGTGAGACCCTGTCTCAAAAAAAAAGTTTTTTTAATTAAAAAAAAATAAAGGCCAAGATAAATAAGTTAGAAGAAAAGTAGTTTAAGAAATATAAAAGAGCTTAGGAAAATTCTAATTGATTTTCTTATAAAAACTCAGGATCTTGCATCCATAAAATAAGAAGTGGAGGCTACTTGGAAAGGAACACTCAGAGGGGGAAAAAGTTATTGGAAATTTTTAAATTACTGCAAGAATCAAAAATTAATAAGGGTTGTAAGAGAAAGTTTAAGAAATCTCCTAGAACATAGATCAAAAAGACAGATTTATTAAAAAATATTGTTTACAAGGAAAAGCAATATCAACCCAAAAGGTTTGATTTGACTATTGGGAATTTCATAAAAAGGAAACAGTAGAAAAGATGGGAGAAAATTATTAAAAGAAGTAAGTAAATAAAAATTCCCAGAGCTGTAGAAAGATGCAAGTCATTGGGTTGAAAATGCTCAAGTGCTGAACAGAATTTATTAAATAAAGACCATACCCAGACATGTCCTCATGGAATTTGAAGATACCAAGTATAAAGAAAAGATCCTTTTAAATTCTAGAAAGAAAAAAAGAAAAACCTACAAGGACTGAGGAACAGTGAAATACCAGATTTCTCATCAGTGACCCTGGACACTTAAAAAAATCATGATGAAAGAATTCTTTCACAGATCTAAAGGACATTGTTTCCAAATTGGAATTCTGTACCCAGAGAAACTAGAGTAAAATAAAGATATCATCAGATATTCAAGAATTCAGGAAAGTTACTTTCCATGTACCATCTCAGGAAAAGCAACTTAAGGATGTATTCAAGCAAAACAAGGAAGAAAACCAAGGAAGAGAGACTTGGGATCCAGAAACCAGTGGATCCAACCCAGAAATACAATGAAGGGAAGTCTGCAGCAAGCCTAAAAATGATCCAGTCCACATTGGAGCTTTCTATCACTGAGGATAGACATCTCCAATATAGAATGTGTGGCTCAATTTTACATTTTAATGAAGGTACATTGTTGCAAACAAGAAAAAGTAAATGTAATTATCTGACAAAAACAAAAAAGTTACACCAGTCAGGCATGATACATATATGAACAAACTGAGATATGACATAATTTTAATCATGATGGAGTACAAGTAAGGATACATACTATCGTAGGGGCATTCTCCTTAAAGTCGATCTGGGGATGTGACATTGGACACACAGAGAAGACAATGCAATCTGAGCATACTACTTGGCTCTGTAGTGAACAATCATCACAAAATGTAAATGTGTATTACTAGTTGCCAACTTTTAAAATTAACGTAGGCAGAGTGTAGAAAACTTAACCTTAGCTATAAAACCAAATGTAGAAACCAGTTTATCCTCATTGACCATACAAAAGTAAAGCTACAGCTGATAGACATTAGAGAGGAGAGGATTGTGGGAAAGGGTAGGGACTCCCATATCTATAGTTCCATATTGGTTTCTCTTTTTAGCCAAAGGAGAATGTCCAAGGAGAATTGGAATAGAGGTATTCACATATGTGGAAAATATAAGTTTCCAGAGAAACAACAGAGATTACCATGAGCTAAACCCTCATCTTTTAAGACTGCCCAGTCAAAAGATATCGTCTCAAGTTGAAAAATCAGTAAGTCAGGGTATAAACATGTTACTTAGAATTATAGAGGTGATCACCAGACTTGCTAAAAACAGAAATAGTTGAGCGTATGGTGAATAGTGAAATAAAAAATGGTAGTATTTCACTTTGTAAAACAAGTTACGATTTTTGTTGTTGATTTTGGCCTGAATCCTCCTTTTTGAGGTTTTATGTGGAAGACAAGAGCAGACTTCTTGGTTCTGGCATCTTTTGAGTAGATAAAAGCCCAAAAACTGGCCATCCGAATACACTTGACACAGGTAAGGTTGGATGGAGAGTCATGACACATCAGTGAGTTACGTGTTTTGTAACCTAAAGATAATGTTTTTCGAGACTTCTTTTCCTCCAAGGGAATTAATTTCTGCCAATGTTAAGTCAGATGCAAGTGAGTCCATTTGTCTCCATTCTCTTCCTCTCTTTCATCACAGCGTGTGTTCGTGTGGGACTTGGATGAGACAATAATTATTTTTCACTCCTTACTCACGGGGACTTTTGCATCCAGATATGGGAAGGTAAGAATCCATTTTGTCTCTCTCTCTCTCTCTGTCTTTTCTTTTTTTTTTTTTTTTCAACATGACTGTCTCTACAGCCAGTTTGTCCTGGGAATTGTGGGGACAGTTTATGAGGCAGCTTCTCCAACAAAAGCTGCCCTTTGGGGTCAACCCAGGTTTAAAAATTCCTGTGGCATTTTCCTTTGACATGTGAAAATTTAATTAGCTTCTCCTATTGTCTCCCATGCCTTTTCTTCCAACATTGGAAGCAATCAACATTTACTTGATAGGAAATAAACTTGTTGTCTTCAGCTGTCTCTCTCCCTAAGAGAGTGGGCTATGCTGCAGCCAAAGCCAGTAATTCTAGCTAGAAAACGAGGTAAAGTACTTTCCTTCTTCCCTGTTGTTTATCCTTGTGTCTCCGGCAGATGAATTTAATTTTCCTTCTGTTTTTTTGAGACAAGGGGGAGGCATTGTCAGCTCCAGTGTGGATCTTAGCAATAGTTTTGCAAACGTATCATCAACAAATTATGTCGGGGAACCATCTAGTTAGAATTCCAGGCAAATGCTATTGGCTGATTGGTATTGGATGGAAGAGATCTTGAAACCACTTTAATAATGCAGAAATGAACTCAACTGCTAAAACCCAAACCTTGCCAGTTACTGGGGTTCATCCCGTGGGTTACTGAACAGATCACAAACGGATGCCCTAGACATCTGTCATCTCTTCAGGAGGACACATGGGGTGGAGGGGCAGTACTTAAGACGACAGCCTAGTTTTCATCTCATCAGAGGTGAGTGACCCACTGGCAGCTGCTTCCACGCATGGGTAGGAACCTTGAGACTCACCAGCGCCTGGAAAATATTTCTGTTTCTGTTTAGAGACCAGGAATATGATTTGACATCACTTCATGGCTTTTCCAGCTGCTCATGTTTTTTATGGGGGTTATAACAAGCTGGATGTGTAATTAGCAAGATAGATTTATCGTCTGCCATTATGTTGTAAAGAATATAAAAATGGTGTTGGTGGTGCAGAAATCTCTTGCCGTGTAGGAATGCCGTTAATATGTCTAGCAGTGCCTGTGGGAAATCTAGCATGCGTTTTTGGACCGTGCACAGCTTAGGTAAAAGATGGCAGAGTCGAGAGCTGCTGAAAACACTGAGGAATGGGCTCCACAGCCATTGCAAAAATCTGGGCTATCTCGAAGGGGCCACAGTCGTGATTGCCTGCTAAGTCGTGGTGTTTTATGGTTTTCCTAACCGCTCCTATAAAGTCACCGCCCCTGAGACACATGCACTCACTTGTCTGGAGGCAGCCTGCTGGGAAGTTCCACAGCTCTGTGCAACAACTCATTTCTTACGGATCGTGTAGGATTGTGTGATCTTGGGTGTGATTTTTGTGTCTGCGTCTCACCAACATCCCTTAAACCAAACTCTGGCTCCCTCAAGTCAAGGACAAATCCCTGAGTTCCTTTCAGGGCCCCGTGTCCCCTGGCCCATGCCATTCCTCACTGCCCGCCACCTCTCTCCCACCTCACTGCCCAATCCCAGACCCCTTCACCTCCCACTCGGCTTCCTATCTGGTCTCCCAGCTTCCACTCTTGCCTGCCACAGCCCCCTGTATCAGAGTCATCCTAAAACACAAACTTGGTCATATCACTCCCCAGACGAAAAATCTTCAGTGGCTTTCCCATTGACAAGCCTCCCTCCATCCCCCCAGCCCCGAGGCCTCTTCACAAGTGGCCTCCTACCACATCCTCCAGTCTTCTTTCCTGCTACTCACCCTGAGTTGTTTTCGGTCCTTGAACCTGAAGGAGTGAGTGCAGATAGTTTATCTAGGAAGTAATCCCAGGAAGCACTGTGCACAAAGTGGGGAATTCAGGCCGGGAGGAGAAGGAAGCCAATACAGATTATACAAATGTAATAGTTGCTGCCATGGGCACCTGGGGCTCAGTCCCACTAGGGACAGTGTTAACCCACCCAAGGAGTGAGGGAGCTGGGATACTAACCTGCAGATTCCCTTCCATCAAGTGTTGAAGGCTTTTCCTGGGAATTGTCTCCTGCACTTCTGGCCAATCCCCAAGAAAGCTGCTAGGGGCAGCCTTAGTGGCTCACACCTATAATCCCAGCACTTTGGGAGGCTGAAGCAGGAGGATTGCATGAGGCCAGCCTGGGCAACATAGTGAGACCCAATCTCTTAAAAAACTTACAAATTAGCCTGGTGTGGTGGTATGCACCTGTGGTCTCAGCTACTCAGGAGGCTGAGAAAGGAGGATGGCTCGAGTCTGCAGTGAGCTATGATTGCACCACTGTGCTTCAGCCTGGGCAACAGAGCAAGACCTTGTCTCAATCAATCAATCAATCAGTCAGAGATCCCAGGGTAGGGCATCACAAAGGCTAACTGTGGAGGGCTTCTTCATATATGTGCAGGAATGGTGACAGTTGAGGGGACATGGAGCAGGGGCACACTGGACACCTCTGCTATAATCTAAAAATGAACATTCTTTTAGAATGTTCTTTTACTGAGTTAAATCCTACCTATCTTTCAGTTCTCATTTAAAATGTAGCTTCCTGCAAAAGGACTTTCCTTATTACTGCTCTCCATCTAAATTGCATCTCTCCTCATAACTGTATTTTCCATATATGTCATAATTATGTTTATTGTATGTCTTCCTTCTAGGCTGTAGGCACCATAAGGGCAGAGACCATGAACATTTTTTTTTTAATCTACCTAGCCATGCACAGTGCACAGGGCAGAATTGCTCAATAAATACTTGTTGAATGAATGAATGAATCAGGGCAATCCCCTAGAATGTTAAGCTGCATGAGGACAGGGACTTTTTGTTTGGTTTGGTTTTGTTCATTGCTTTATCACCAGTGAGTGGAACTGTGTCTCCCACTTAGTAGGTGTCAAGTAAATATTTGTTAAATGAAGGAAAGAAGGAAGGAAGGAAAATAGGATCAAAACAGAAATTTTCAACTGGTGGCCACTGGCCAAATTCATCCTGCAGATATTTCTCTTTGGCCCCCAGAGTGTTTGAAAAAATGTGAATATGTCGCCAACGTTTTAAAATCAGGAGATTGCACAGACCAAAACAACCTAGATTTCCAGCTTTTCTTGAAAAATTAGGAATCTGGCAATCCTGCATTCCCCTGAGGCAGCAATCAACAGGAATGGAGGACTGCCCTCTTAGAGAGGGTGGACATTCTCCAGCCCATTGCAGCCCCCACCTGGCCTGGTTAACCCATTCATGAGACTCTTTGGCCCCATTGGTATCTGAGCTGCAACATCCATCCTAGAATTACAGAACTGTAGAAGATCAGAGCTGGAAGGACTTGAGAGACCATCATGTCAAATTAGTCTCCACTGTGCATAAGGAGAAACTAAGGCTCAGAGGGAGTAAGATCGTCCAAGAGAGCATGAGAATTAGACTCAAGCTCCCCTGCCTTCCTGTGTGATCCCTCGATGTCCAGGGAAGACTGAGGTGAAAAGTTCTTGGGGCACCCAGCTCTCCCATGCCATCTTCATGACTCTCCTAGAATTTTCCATTCCCTCCTCCAGCTCTCACTAAGGTGAGGAATAAGTATTTTTATTTGCTAAATCTAGCAACTTTCAGAGAGACCCAGAATAAATATAACTTAAACAAGATGCAAGTTTATTTCACTCCCTAGCAGTCCAGTTAGAAGCAGTTCAAGTAGTTCAACCAGAGACCATGGCCCCTGCGGTCTTATTCCCTGCCATTTTGGAGTGTCACCCACATTGACAACATAAATCACAGCTTACCCCAATGTCTTCATTGCAGCCAGTAAGAAACAGGGATAGGAAAAGGATGCCTCTCTTTTCATATTTTTATTTTCTTGTCCCTCTCTTTTTTATTATTTTTATTAATTTTTTTAGAGACAGGGTCTTGCTCTGTTGCCCAGGCTGAAGTGCAGTAGCATAATCATAGCTCACTGTAACCTCAAACTCTTCCCTCCAGCAGCCCTCACCGTGCCCAGCTAATTTTTAAAAATTTTTTGTAGAGATGAAGTCTCACTGTTTCGCCCAGGCTGGTCTTAAACTCTTGGGCTCAAGTGATTTTTCCTCCTTGGCCTCCCAAAGTTCTGGGATTAAAGGCCTAAGCCAGCACACCCAGCAAGCCCCTGTTTTTTAAAGGCCAGATTCAGAAATTGCAGGCATCACTTCTGCTCTTATTCTATTGGGCAGAACGTGGTCAGATGGCTTCATCTAGCTGCAAGGGAGTCTGTGAAATGTAGTCTTTATTTGAGGCAGTCATGTGGCCAGTTAAAATTTAGAGATTCTAATACTTTGAGAGGGAGAAAAGAAGAATGGGTATTAGAAAACAACCAGCAATCTCTAGCCCAAAGTACTGTATAGTAAAAGGAAGAACAATGAAATAGAAAAATGATGAGGAAAAATAAAGTTAGTTATGATTGAGAGGCCTAGGAGACAACAGGATTTGTAAGTCTGAAGCTCCAGAGAGAGGTCTGTACTATGGCTTTAAGCTTGGATGTTAGAGAAGTAATAAGGATCTAGAGGAGCAGACAGGTGAGCCCCATTTTGCAGACAGAGTAACTGAGACCCAGAGAAGTTATGTAGTTGGTGGGATATTCATGACAGAACCAGAACTCATAGCCTCAGCTTCTGGCTCACTATACTTCTCTCTATACTTCACCAGCACTGCAGCCATGTGAAACTTGTCATTAATAGCTGGCATTAAGTATGACACTGACTTTGAAGTATAGCATATTTAAGCTACAAAGAAAACTTATTGGAGCACAATAATTGAAAAACCCAGGGATACCTGGGATTCAGATCTGGCTGGATCCAGATGTTTAAGCAATGTTCTTAGGTGATTCTGTCTCTCTCAGCCAGCTTTCTCCATGTGGTAACTTCCTCTCAGCAATCCCAACTAAAAACTGGGAACTTCTAGTACCCAAATTCCAGCACAGCTTCCAGGCTTGAATTTCAGTGTCCCAGACTGGGTCACATGTCCATCCATGTGCCAAGCTCTGTAGCT